TGACTACACTGCTACCTAGCAGGTTTGAAAGTGAGTAACAACAGACAGACAAGGATGATTTCTTATCTAAGCCTGGGTGATCTTGTTTTATTCATTATAATAAGTATAAGGAGTAGAACCTGTGAAATTTAATGTGGGTAGTTTAAAGAAATAGTTAAAATTTTTAGCGAAGATTTAGTTCATTGTTTATTTCTCAATGAATTTACTTCCTGAAGGTTTTGTACATTTTATTTCCAATGTAGTGGGAACTTGTAAAACTTACTGGCTATTTTGCTGTTGTTTCTCTAGAAGAATATAGCTGAGAATAGAATCCTGCCTCTCACAGAAGTTGGCATGCACTTATCCCAAGCGGTGAAAGCTGGCTACCCTGTTGATATGGAGCGAGCAGGCCTGACTCCAGAGGTTCAGAAGATTATTGCTGATGTTATCCGAAACCCTCCCATCAACTCAGGTGATAACCATGACCCTAGCCCTAGCCTGCACCCTTAATGACTTGAGTCGTTGAACCCAGATGAAGTAAACAAGCCATCCACTAATATTTTTCATTTTTAACATTAACTCTGTATGCTGCCATGAAAATCTTACTTTTTATCTTTTTAGTTGTTTTTAGAAACAGCAAAATCTGAGCCTGTGATAGTCTTGTTTCCTTTTCATCTTCAGATTACAACTTCCACACCTCTCCTATTTAATGCACTTTATTCCTAATATTTTTCTTATTGCATGAAAAAAAACCTTTTCCCTTCATATTCATTCTCTGTACCTTACCAACTCCTAGTTTATCCCCAAATCTTTTTTATTCCTTGTCATTGATTTCACTTAAATATAGCCTTTTCTTTAATATATATAATGTATAAAATACATATTTTATATAAAACATATGTATATCATATGTGTGTGTATTTAAGGTAACTTTGGTTTACATTATTGTTTGTGTATTAGAAATATAAGGATCAAAAAAAAAAAGAAAGCATAAGGATCCCTCTACAGTATTGTGAATGTACTATATACTATAGCTTGGCTATTGTAAATAGTGCTGCTAAGTAGCCTTTCTAATCAAGTCAGTGATGTCAGTCATTCTGATGATGAAGGGGTAGATCAAGTTCTCTAAACCCCTTGAAGAAGGGTTTCCTTATGTTGCTTTGCGCCAGAACTTTGCTGAGCCCTTTGCTTGTTCTATAGAAGCTTTTTAATACAATTTGTTACCTACTTTTTACAAAGGTAAGGATGAGGTACATTAGGAAGTGCTGCTAATTTGTTTTTTAAGTCATGTAAAGCTCCCCTTGAGCTATGTGGGGAAGCGGGGGTCACGGTGGGGGAAATCTTGCGGTGATGCCATCTGCAGTTTTTTGAATCCACTGAATGCAGAATTAGAGGACAGAATAATATCCACACATAAATGAACCCGCACAGAAGAAATCCATGTTGTTCAAGGGCCAACTATGCTGTAAAGTTACAGAATTTTAGACTTGGAAAGGAAACTGAAAATTAATAAATGTTCACTTCCCTACTCCCACCCTGTTTCTGAGGCCTATAGAGAGAGTCACAAATTTTTTTTAATATTATATCAAGTCTAATGACTGACAAGTTTTTCTTTTTTCTAAACTATATGGAAGTTGTACTGCCAAGTTTTTAAAAGAAAGAAATATGCAGTTTCTAATCTGACATAGGATTGGGTTTATATGCCTCCAATCGATGAGTAAAACAATATGCTTCAGGGCCCCCTGGTGGCGCACGGGGTTAAGCCTCAGCATTATGAAGCATTCCACTGCCACTGTAGCATGAGTTCGATTCCTAGCCAGGGAGGTGACCCACAGGGGACAGCAGACCTCTCCTGTATCGCCCGCTGCTTCCCTTAGCAGTGTATTTCAGTCAGTCCGCCTGTTCTGTTCCCCACTCTGTCTCTGGTGAATCCTCTCACCCCCCACCTCTGCCTTACACCCCAGTTCTTGTATACATAAATAAATAAATCTTTAAAAAATAAATAATATACTTCATTATAATTCATTTTAATATTTTTATGTATCTATGTCTTTAAATATTTTCTACCATGTGTAGTACCCTTTATGTTCATAGCTTAGCAAATTTAATTTCTGATCACTTTTTAATTAAGAAATACTATGAATCAAGCAGAATATGTACAAAGAAAATTTCTCAACAGTTGCACAGTCTGGTTCAACAATTACTAGAGAGATGAGAAAAACATTTGAAATCGTTAGTCACTAAAACTAGTTAAAACAGTTGTCTTTATCACCAAACACTGAATATAGCAAATACATTTTATTCAGAGATAAAAGTTAATTGAAATCTTGAAAGACAACAGAGAACACTATTGAATATAGTTTTTAAGCAGTATTTCATTTTGCTGTTAATGCACTATATGTAGGTTGTACATATAATATGAAGAAGTATATTAATTGTTGCTTACTTCCAAAGCAAAACTTGAAAAAATTTGGAAGATTGTGACAACCATGAGCTCTAAATTTTATTTCTTTTGTACATTTATAGCCAATATCATTTATTTATTTTTTATTTTTTAGCCAATATCATTTATTGAGGTAAAATTTTACTTTTGAATTCTTGTTTTCCGTGATAAAATATTATTCTCTTATTGGAGAAAATATTGTTGAGTTTTAAATGATAATAAGAACTGAAGATATGCATACTACATGAAATATTTAGACATTTTGTTATCTTTTATTTAACTGTAACTATAATTTAAGTATTTTTGTGTACAAGGCAATTGGTAATTAATTGCATGACCCTGAATTGAGAAATTTTCTGTTTTATTACATTATTTATAAGGAAAGCATTTGTGAATGATAAAGAATCAGATGTCTATTTTTCATGCTGTTTTCTTTACTAAATAGATTTTGTCCTTTCAACACTTAATATTTAAATGGATTTTTGTTCTTTGAGTTTCTCCCTTTATGTAATTTAAGCTCCTTTTATGGAGTTGAGATTCTAACTATACTTAATAATAAGTTAAGCAAGACATTTAATGAGGTGCCTAGGTAATATTTTGAATGATTTCATTCTCCCATTCTTTATGTGCATGTAGCTGGAAAATTAAGGGTGGCTTCCAAGGGACCTGCCACAAAAGTAGAGGTAATATGATCTCTTTTAGAGTAGTGAAGGAGTGTAGTCAGTGTTCATTACTTCATTCTCCAGTAGATATTTTCAGCACTAACTTGCTTGGAAAGCTAAAGGCAGAATAAGAGGCATATTTAAAGTTAGATACCACTTGTTTCTGTATGCATATGATAAGATTTCTTAAAGATAAAAAAAGTAAAGGGTACTGGAAATGTACAAGTTAATATGTGAAATTTCTAATTTTATCAAGAAATTATGTTCTTGTCTGAATTGCAGTATAATAACTATACATTATTAACTCATAGTGCTTTTAAATGACAGGAAATTTTTTACATCTCAATTTAGAAATAAATTGAGTCTAATGGAATAAAACACCTCACTTTTTCTTTTTAAAATAGTTTAACAGTAATAAAATACAGAAGAAATAAATATATAATACTAGTTGGCTAGAGCATGGGAAAATTTGTATGGTTTTTCTAGAGCAGATGTAATGTGTAAAGATGTAATGTGAGTCACATGAGCAATTAAATTTTCTAGTAGTCTCATTAAAGTAAAAGTAAATAGCTAATTAATTTTAACTATAATTTAATTAGTCTAATATATTTAAAATTTTATCATTCCAACATTAATTAGGAATTATTGATGAGATTGTATAAGCGTTTGAAATGATGTATGTCTTACATTTATAACATCTCAACTATGAATGCTAAATTTAAAAAAATTTTTTTAAAAGATTTATTTATACATACAAGAATTGGGGTACAGGCCAGAGTTGTGGAGATGAGAGAATTCACCAGAGACAGAGTGGGGAACAAAACAGGCGAATTGACTGAAATATACTGCTAAGGGAGTAGCAGGCAAGTCAGGAGAGGTCTGCTGTGCCATGTGGGTAGCTCCCTGGCGGAGATCAAACTCGTGCTGCAGTGGCTGCAGCTAGCTTCATAGGTGTGTCTTAACCCCTTGCACCACTAGGGAGGCCCTAATGCTTAAATTTTAACTTGAAATACTTAATTTGTATTTAGCTTTCATAAAATTTACAATTGAATAAGGTAAATTAAGATATCCAAGTTGTTTCAGGTACTTAACATTTTTCCAACTAAATCAAAAATTACTGAATTAAAAATACTTAAAATTAAGAACTCAGCTTCTTAGCCACACAAGCCACGTCATGAGGACTCAGTCATTTTGTGGTTGGTGATATTTGTGTATACGTCAGAGCTAGCTTGGTAATATATGTCAGTATATCAAATTTGTATAACCTTCGAGCTAGCAATCCCACTTGTAAGTACCTAGAAAAAATGGAAAGATACTTGTAGTATAATGTTCATCAGAACATTTTTATTTTCAAAGAAAAATCAAAGACAAAGAAAGAGAACTCAAGGTAAATTCTAATAGACACATATAAAAGAAGACTTCTCAGTCATAAAAATAGTAAAGTAATAAAGTTGATAGAATTTCAGCGTATAAAGATGGTATAATGGCCAAGGTCAAGAAAACTTCAGTTTTGTTAAGGTGTGATGGTAATATTGACGATTTTATTATATTTAGAGGTAATCTGGTCTTTTCAAGATCTTGATTAAATATCAGTTATGCACCTTCATAATTAGAAAAAGAGTATATGCTTAATAGTCAAAGAGTCCACTTTTCTACTTTCTGTTGGCTATTATCTTTCTGACTTAAAAAAAAAAAAAAAAAACTGCACTCTTTTGGGGATGTCCTGGAGTAGCAAGGTAAGAGCTTTGGAAGAAAGGAAATGTAAACTTGAAAATGAAATCACTTAAAGACCACCTTTTCAAGTTGGTATCTAAAAATACTTGGTTGTTAATTTGAATTGGTGTTAGAAATGTTTGTTAGCAGTTTTATAAATCACATGAAGTTCTGTGAATAAGTTCTAAGTTGCTTAGCTTTATAGTCCTGTAGAGCATTACAGATGAATGTGATATTGGGAAGAAGGTTTGAAACATGAATAGTGGTTTCTAGGATGCTACATAATTTGTAGATGTGAAGAGACTGACAGTCTGAGTCAGATCTGTTGAGATACAAAAAGATTAAAAATTACTTGACTCTGAAAATAAGATGTATCTTTCCCAGATAACTCAGTCAATATGCATTTAAAATAATTGTTGTCTTTTTGTTACTCTATAATAGCCATTGAAAGGATCTTTTTTATTAGCATCTTATTTACAGCTATGAGTAGCCGAAAATTTCTATTTTCAAAATAAGTTGTTTGAAAAATTTAACTTGTAATTGACATCTGGAATTTGTAGCATAACTTAATTACTTTAAAAACAATTCTGTGAATGGTGGTTTTAATTCTCAGGGGAGGGGCCTCCCTGGTAGCTCAAGGTGTTAATGCGCAGCCTGTGAAGCTGTCAGCAGCCTTTGCAGCATGAGTTCGATCCCTGGCCAGCCAGGGAGCAACCCACATGGCGCAGCAGACCTTTCCTGACTCAACCTGCTGCTTCCCTCAGCAGTGTACTTCGGTCAGTCTGCCTGTTCTGCTTCCCACTCTGTCTCTGGTGAATCCTCTCAACCCCACACCCCTGGCCTGTAACCCAGCTCTTGTATGCATAAATAAATAAATTTTTTTTAAACTAATTTATTTATTTGTACAAGCACTGGGTACAGTCAGAAGCGCAGGCGGGTGAGAGAGAATTCACCAGAGCCAGAGGGGAGAGCAGAGCAGGCAGACTGATGAAATACACTGCAGAGGGGAGCAGTGGGCGGAAGAAGAGGTCTGCGCGCCATGTGGGACCCTCGCATGGTGGCCAGGGATCGAACAGGCACTGCAGAGGCTGCGGGCAGCTTTGCAACCCAGCGCTCAACTGCTGTGCCACCGGAAAGGCCCAACAACTCATAGTTTTTCTAAAATGTTGTGTAATTTATTTTAAAATCTTATTATTTCATCTTTCACAGATACATACAAAATGAAGCTAATTAGATTGTTTGTTCCTGAAAACATTGACACATACCTTATCCACATGGCAATTGGGATTCTGGGAAATGATTTGAACAACAGACTGTTATGTCAACCTTCTTGTGATTCCAACAAAAAGAGATGTTTCCCCAACTCTGAAGAGAGCTGTTCAAGTTCTAAGAGAAGCAAGGAAGAAGTATGCACTGATACCAAGGTATTAATTACATGTTGAATTTTCATATAGTGTTAGTTTGTTTATACTAGAATGCTGTATTTTAAACTGTTATAAATTCTGACATAAGACTACTTTAAAGAATCTATGTGCTATGATTTTCTTTGCGTTTCATAAATCTGACTTGAGAAAGTGATTTTTTTTTTTAAATACAATAAAAGGGTAGTTATTATAATATGCTAAACAGATACACTATTTGTATTGTGTGGAAAGTCAGCTTATATTTTACTGCTGCATCAGAGTAAATATACAGCTTGGAAACTCTTTCATAGGTGTAATTAATATTGGCATATGGAAGTTCATGTGGTTAATGAAAATGAAAACAAATTTATTAGAAATACCCTGAAAATGTCTTATTATTCTGTCATTAATCACATTCTGTTCCTGTTAAGTATCTAAGAAGGACAATTTGTTGGTTAGGATCCTTAGTACATCTTAATGTGCTTTTTTGCATGACCACAGAAAGACCATGAATTTAGTGCTGTTTTAGATAGTATATTTTATTAAAATTAAATGTTTTGAAAATCCTTGCTCCGGTGTAAGGTAAATAGTAACCACAGAGGGCCTCCCTGGTGGCGCAGCGGGTTGAGCACAGCGCTGTGAGGCTGTCAGCAGCCTTTGCAGCACAGGTTCGATTCCCAGCAGGCCAGGGAGATGCCTACATGGTGTGGCATACTTCTCCTGTCTCACCCGCTGCTCCCCTCAGCAGTGTTTTCTGTCCGTCTGCCTGTTCTGCTGCCTTCTCTGTCTCTGGTGAATTCTCTCACCCTCCTGCACCTCTGGCCTATACCCCAGTTCTTGTATAAATAAATACATCTTTAAAAAAAAAAGTAACCACAAACAGAGTAACTTCTTTGATAATGTGACTCTATTAAATAATTGTATAAATTTGAAAATTTGACCTTCAGTATCTTCCAGATCTAAAATCTGACTATGTTAAAAGTTTATAAAACCTATTAAGTAAACAGAATTTTAGTTCCTAGATTATAAATACAGCATGGTAGTAGATGATTGCTAATATTTACTAGAGTATTAGAAACTGCATTTCAGTTCTAAGGTAATCTTTATAAAAGTTTTCCTGCATTTTCAATATAGTGTTTCCAAGTTCAAAAAACTCTCCTGTTGTTTTTGTGTAATATTCAGAATATGGAAATTTGGTTTATGAGATGCATAGCTCTGCCACTTATTTGAACTTTCTCTTCCCTTGTCTCTATTATATCTTTCCTGCTTAATTTTGATTTAACCTTTCATTTCTCCTGAGTATGGGCATTCTCTTGGAAGACAGCATTAGCTGATCAAGAGAGTTCATAGGAGCCTGTCATTCTAGCCACTTATTACCAGTCAACTGGTAACCAGTCAGCAATTGACCCTCAACTGCTATTGGGTTGAGCAAAAGCCTTGCTCTTTTCAGATGCTGTTCTCAATTTATCACGCTTTCCAGTGTAGACCTGTGTCTCTTTTGGGATTCTATGTCTTAGGCTCCTCATTGCTTGTCTCTACCTTTTCTAGTACAGATGCTATACCATATAAGTCTTTTTTTAAAAAAAAAAGATTTATTTATTTATGCATACAAGAACTGGGGTATAGGCCAGAGGTGGGGGTGGTGGTGAGAGGATTCACCAGAGACAGAGTGGGGAGAAGAACAGGCAGATTGACTGAAATAGACTGCTGAGGGGCACAGTGGGCGAGTAAAGAGAGGTGTGCTGCACCATGTGGGTAGCTCCCTGGCTGGGGATCAAACTTGTGCAGCAGTGGCTGAGAATAGCCTCATAGGTTGCGTCTTAACCCCTTGCGCCTCCAAGGAGGCTCTATACCATATAAGTCTTATGGCTGTTGGTAGTTTCTCCTCACATGCTTATTGTTTGGGTATCCTAAAAATACCTTTAAAATTAGTTTCATTATAAATGTAGATGATAGATTTTGGTTTTGCTAATTGGTTTAACTGTTCAAATGCTATGTGTAGAAATATAAAAACTATGCTGCTCCTGCCATTATATACCCAGAACCCTCTTTTATATTACTTTCCTTTTTGTTTTTCTTGACTGCATTAGAAGAGAGAGTGCTATTTCCTGCCACATCACTGAGTTTGGTTTTAAACTAAAATAATCAGTATTATTTACAAACTACTTTAAGATACTCAGGGGAAAAATGCCTTATGGATAATATATCCATCATTGTTGAAATTTAGTACTCCAGGATACTAAAAATTTTCTTAGCTTTGCTTTTTTAGGTATTTTAGTTTGGCAAAGAAAGTGGCACATGCTATAACTATTTTGAATTCTATAAAAATTATAAAGGTTGCTGGGACATGTCCTGGTGCTATTTCATCAAAAGAAGAGATTGACAGAAATTCACCAAGACTCACTTCTGGGAATCAGCCATCCAGTGATCCAGAAATAGACGATTTATTTACGGATTCTCATTCACAGGTAAATTGATTTGACAAAATTGGGGGTTTTTTTTCCAAGTTTTATTGATTTGCTAATAATTATGTAAGTATATGATTAAGAGGAGTGCAACTTCACACCTCCCTGTGTGTATGTGCGTCTCTTACCATCTACCAACTTTCCCATGCTAAAACACTATCACCAGGCCTCCCTGGAGGAGCAGGGGATTGAGTCGCAACCTGTGAAGCTATCTGCAGCCTCTGCAGCACAAGTTCGATCCCCCACAAGGGAGAAACCCATAATGTGCAGCAGACCTCTCCTGACTTGCCTGCTGCTCCCCTCAGCAGTGTACTTCGGTCAGTCTGCCTGTTCTGTTCCCCACTCTGTCTCTGGTGAATCCTCTCACCCCCCACACCTCTGGCCTGTACCCCAGTTCTTGTATGCATAAATAAATAAATCTTAAAAATAAATAAATAAAACCTTATCACTTTCCATCCCCTATTCCCTTCCTTCTCTCCCTCATCTACTCTGGTAACTAGCATGTTTTTCAGAGTCTGAGAATATTCTTGTTTTGCCAGTTTGTTTTCTTTGGTTATTTATATTATACAAATTAATATGACCATCTGGTAACTGTCTTTTCTCCTTCTGAGTATTTCATTTAGCATAATCACCTCAATATTAATGTATTTTATCCTAATAGGCACTATTTCATCTTTTTAAATAGCTGAATAATATTCCATTGAGTATATATTTCACAATTATTTTATCCAGTTGTCTGTCAGTGGGCATTTAGGTTGGTTCCATAACTTGGCTGTTGTGAATAATGCTGTTATGAGCATAGAAGTATGTAAAATTTTTTGTGTGTTTCATATTTCATGGTGTTTGGGTAAAAATATAATAGTGGTTTTTCCATTTTTATTTTTTGAGTAATCTTCATACCATTTTCCATAGAGACTGCACCAATTTTCTATAGAGGCTACATTCCCACAAACAGGGATGAGTTTTTCCTCCACATCCTTGCCGACATATGCTGTTTCCAGGTTTCTTAATATAGACCTTTGTCACGGGGTGAGGTGATATCTGATTGTGATTTTGATTTGCACTTCCCTTACAATTGGTGTTATTGCACATTTTTTCATGTGGCTGTAGGCCATTTGAATGTCTTTTTTTCTATGTAAGTTTCTGTGTAAGTCTTTTGCCTCTTCTGGTTTTGTTTGGTTTTATTTGGTTTGGCTCTTTGTTGTTTGGTTTTGTCACTCATGTGATGTGCAAATATCTTCTCCCAGTCCACTGGTTGACTTTGTTTTTGTGGTGGTTTCAAGGCACAAAGGCTTTTTAGTTTGATGTAGTCCCATTTGTTTATTTTTGGTTTTGTTGCTGTTGAAGTTGCCACTCACATGCAGCCTTGTCCAGGAGTGTATTGCCTGTGTTTTCTTTTATGTATTTTATGGTATCAGGTCTTATAGCTAAGTCTTCAACCCATTTTGAATCAATTTTTGCATATGATCGCATTTCATTCTTTTGCATGTGGCTGTCCAGCACTATTTTTTTGTTTTATTCCTCCACTTTTCTCTCAGAATTGTTTTGCCTATTTGGAGTTTTTTGTTTCCTTGAATTATATCTGCTAGCAACTGAAGTTATCTGTTGGCAACAGGATTGATACTAAAACCTTTTAAGTCTTGAAGACTTGTGATTTGTACAAGGCTGTTTTATGCTGACAGTCTTTCAATAAATAGGTGAGTTGATCTTAGAGGAAAAGCTTTCAGTTTTTTATCTTTGAGTATTCTTGTTGCTGTGGACTTGTCATACTTGGTCTTTATTATGTTGAGGTTTCTTCCTTCTGCCCTCTTTATTGAGAATTTTTACCATAAGTGGATTTTGGATCTTATGAAATGCTTTCTCTACATCTATTGAAATGATCATGTGATTTTATCTTTCCTTTTGTTGAAGTGTTGAATCACAGGGATAGATTTGCAGATGTTGAACCATCTTTGCATACCTGGAAAAAAATCCCACTTTTTCATGATGTTTGATCCTTTTAATGTATTGTTGAATTTACTTTGGTAAGATTTTATTGAGGATTTTTATATCTATGTGCACTAAAGATATTGGTCTGTAGTTTTCTTCTTTGTGTGTGTGATATCCTTGTCTGCTTTTAATATCGGAGTGATGTTGGCCTTATAAAATATATTTGGAATCATTCCCTCTTAAATTTTATGGAAGAGTTTGAGAAAGATGATACTAGTTCATCGTTGAAGGTTTGCTCGAATTCAATTGTGAAACCATCTTACTCTGAGCTTTTGCTTTTGGGAAATTTCTGATTATTGTTTCAATTTCCTTGTTTGTAATTGGTCAGTTCAAATTTTTTATTTCTTCCTGATTCAGCCTTGGGAGAGTGTATGATTCTAAGAATTTATCCATTTCACCCAGGTAATCCAACTTATGGTTATAAAGATGTTCGTAGTAGTCTCTTATGATCCTTTGTGTTTCTGTGATCTCTATTGTAACTTCTCTTTTATTTCTCATTCTGTTTATTAGAGTTTCTGTCTTTTTTTCTTGGTGAGCCTAGTTAGAGTTTCCTCTATTTTGTTTATCTTTTCAGAGAACCAACTCTTGGTTTCATTCATCTTTTGTGCTGCCCTTGGATTAAAAAAAATATTTTCTTCAGGAACTTTTAATTTAGGATTCAGAGACTTCAGTTAGTACATGAGCACCATTAAATTCTGCTAAGTATTATGCATGCATACATTAATTTTTTCCTCAGAAGTGTATTTCTAGTTTTTAGCAGGTTCTCAAAAAAGTCTGTGAAGCAAAAAACAATTTAAGAAATTTGTTCATCAAATTTTTTTGAATATCACCTATATCTCAGCATCTCTGCAAAGTGCTGATAATGGCTGACCTGCTTTTCTATTCTGTCTGACATTGTACATTTAGAAGTTATATGGTTTTCAGATGTCTCACATAACTTTGTGTACATGTGCATACCACATGCTTTTTCCCAGGCAGAAACATTAAATTTACCATTTTGGCCAACCCAAAGCATATACACAATGTGACATAGATGTGAAATAATTTTACAGTTCTTTCCTACCCAAGTGAGTGTCTATACCTGAGTACCTAAGAATAGATAACAGGGGGACAAGTTTGATACAGAAATAGATTGTGTAGATCTCACTGTTTTGTTTTATCTGGAGAAAAGATGTTGGATGTGTATTAAGTAACCTATGTTACTTTATACAAATAGTGTGCATTGTTAATAGTACAAATATTCTTTCTGTATTTCTTTCCTATAGATTTCATCTGAAACCTTAAATACAAAATTACCTGAATGGCGTGCCAGAGGAAATTATGCCAGCAAGAAATCAGTAACCAAAACAAAAAAGGGGGGTCTTTTTAGTTAATCTGGCATTCGTCAGAGGAATTCTGTATGTCTTGTTTTGTTTATAAGATGGGAGTTTCATTTCTGAAGGAAATAATATTTCAATTAAAAAATTACTCTATTCTCAAAGTAAAATTCAAGGACTGACATCGTAAAACAGCATTGTACTGTTTATTGAAGGACTGACATCGTAAAACAGCGTTGTACAATTCACATAAAGCATGTAAGTCTTCAAGAACCTGAGTGAGTGTATCACAGAATAGAGTATTAAATTAATTTCATACAAGATTGCTTTATGAAACTGTGTAACTGCCCTTTTTTTCTAATTTAATTTAACATTTATCTGGAAAATGTAATGTGCAGTGATTTGATATAGCTAACAGCTTAGTAGTTCTTTGATGATTGTATATAATATATATTTCTATATTATCAGAATTCTGTCTTGCGAATGAAAAAAGCATAATTACTTTCAAGTTATCTTTACTATTTTTAGAAGAAGCTGTTGTACACATTGTTAAGTGGTGTTAGTAGACCAGACCAATGAAAATAAAATAACAGTTTGGACTTTATGTTTGAATCTGGTACATGATCAAAAACTTAAAAAGTGAGTCAAACTGTTCCAAAGTTCCAAAGTGAGGGAAAATTCTAGAATTGGGCTAAAATGTAACAGGAAACACTACCTAAGGGGAAATGAGGATTTGATATTTGATAGCAGTTACAAAAAGTAAAAGTTACCTTTATACCCCAACATGTCCACCCCTTATATATTAGTGGGAACACAAAGAAGTTGAACTTGAAATTATTCATTTTTTTATTGAGGTAATGTTGGTATACAACACTATATGATTCAGAGGTATAGGTTAAGTATGTTACCACCCTCCACCCACCAGCACTGCATCCATATTCCTCCACCATAGTCCATTAAGCCCCTCCACACTTTACACTCTGCCCTCACCCTTCCCGTTTGGTAACCTCAATTCTACAGTCAGATTTCTAGGGTTTGGTTTGTATCTCTGTAGTCTAAAAATGAATGAAATCATGTGGTGTTTGTTTTTCTCCTGACTATTTCACCTAATATAATCCCCTCCAGTTCCATCTATGTAGTATAAATGGCTAGAGTTCATCTTTTTTTTTTTTCAATAGCTGAGTATTTTAACCCAGTTATCTATCCTTGGGCACTTTCCATTGCTTGGCATTTTAATAATGGTGCAATGAACATGGGAGCACATATATTCCTTTGAATTAGTGTTTTTGCATCCTTTGGGCAGATACTTATGTGTGGAATTGCTAGATCATATGATAGATCTACTTTTAATATTATGAGAAATCTGCATACTATTTTCCATAGGGTCTGAACCAGTCTACATTCCCTCCAACAGTATATGAGGATTCCTTTTTTTTTTAACACTCACCAACCTTTGTTGTTTCTGATCTTTTTAATATGGGCTATTCTCACAAATAGGAGGCGGTGTCTCACTGTCATTTTGGCTTGCATTTCCCTGTGATGATAAGTGAGCGATTTCTCATGTGCCTGTTGACCATTTGTATGTCTTTTGGAAAAGTGTTTAGCACTTTGTTTTAATGCAAACAAATATGTATTTATATATTTTGAAACTAAAAGTAAAGTAGGCAGGGCATTCCAGGATGATAGCAAACCAATATGTTTGCTTCCTTTCCATTCCCAGTTTTAGCTTCTGTCTGCCTCTCTTAATGGTGTGGACTGGAAAGTGAACAGGCCTTTAGAGTGCTGACTAGAGCCCCGTGTGCATTGGACTATTACCTGGAGACCAGTTGGAATGTCCCAGGGAAAAGAGAATTGGAAGATTCTAAGGAGATTATTGACCTTAAGGGGAAGATGGATCTAGGTTTGCTGGGATATATCAGATCTTGACATACCCTAAAATACTGTAATAGGTAGACTGAATTCTTTCCAAACCCAAGGTTGGAGAACTCTGTGACATTTGGGTAGATTCATCCTGGTACATTGACAGGTAACTGATGACCTGCCTCCTGCCATAGTGCGAAGACATCCTCCCATCTTTTTCTGGGTGAGGAATCTTTGAGACCATGGAGACATGTTCATCAGAAGTTCATACCTGCACCCCTTTCCTAGGCCATGCTTTCAGTACATAGGATGCAGAGTGCTGGTCCAAACATGCCTGATCCCCAGGGACTCTGGCCTTGGTTTAACCTCTGTTTTACTAAATTCTTGGTTTGAAGGGTGGTTAAAGAATGACTGTAGGGGCTGTGAACAAAGCTTGGAAGTCTAGGCTGAGTGTTCATATATATGCACAGGAAGCCCTTTGTGGGAAAAAATAAGAGCCAGGGAGCACATGTGGCCACAAGTTGATTCTCCTACACCAATAACACTAATTCCCTGAACTGTGTCGGACTTAAGTTGATCAGCTGTGTGTTCAGTGAAGTCCATAGCTTTGTCATTTACTGGCTGTGTCACTTTGGACAAATTACCTAGACATTAAGAGTCTCATTTAAATAATTTGTAACATGAAAACATATTGCCGGGCTTAAATAGAATAGAATTTACAACAATGGTTGGCATACATAGTTGGTGTTCACCTAGTTGGAGCTTTAGAAATTTCTACCGGAAAGTCAGTGGCTGGTTGTACAAAAGGAAGCAGTCTATCTTGGCAAGCACTGCTTGGTGAAATCACTATGGTTCAACATTTGCCCATTATTGTGCTTGGTCAGCAATCTAAGGTGTCAATACCCCAAAGTGGAACCTTCTTTCAAGGGCAGATCTAGTTTGTTTGTTATCCAAGTTGACAGAGACTGATTAAATAATCAACAGATATTTATTGAGCACCTATTACTGTGTGCCAGGCACTTTTCCAGGTGCTAGACATACAGCAGTGAGTAAAACAAAAAAGTAAAAATACTGTATCTTAGGTGGGAATCTATGTTAAGACAATAAAGCAAGGAAGGAGTAGGGAGTGTTTCATTCTGGATAAGGAAGAACTTACTCAGAAGGAGAGTTCAGCTTTAGAATTAGCCTGGATTCAACAATTTTTAACTATAACCTTGAGCATATCAACCCAGTATCAGCTTCATTATTATTAACACTATTCATTGAGTCGAGCATTTAGCATTCTTTCAAGCATACCATGGAAGTATTAAAAACTAACTATTCTTATCCGTTACCTGTAGGAAAGCTACAGGGGAAGCCACATTATAATCAGAAGGTTGCCTAAAAGTTTAGTCAAAGAAATGGGCACTAAATAATTTTTATATTTAAGAACATTGGGCTAGATTTCTCAGTGTACTAAAGTAAATGCTATTTTTTATTTAACAAAGGATATAGAAAAATGGGCATTCCAGAAGCTTTTGAGAGAATAATTGGAATAATAAAATATTTGAAAGTTGATGAAATATTCTAGTTCATGAATTAAGATGGTCTTAAAATTTTGAATAAAATTACTTTTTATTTCTTAGAAAGCTTGTTGTAGCTGTTTAAGGATGGAGATGTGGAGTGCTGAATATGCTAGATAATGAGGAGCAAGGCAGGAGAAAAGGCATCTACTGTAACCCTGTAAGCCTTGGAGAAGGCAGTGTGAGACTTGACAAGCTTCCCTTCTTCTGACCTTCTTTGTTTTGGATCCTAATACGGAAAGTTTATTATTGTTACTGACTCACCTGAATTTTATACAGTTTTGAAGTGTCTGCCAGAAACCTATCATATTCCTCCCACTTGTTGGGTGCATCATTTTCACACTGGAACATTTACCTCACTAGTGCAAGAGCACCATCTGCTGGTCAAGTTTGGTGACTTCAGGTTCTGTTTTACACAGGAAGATCAGACCGTTTTGTTTTGATTTTGTTTGGCTTGGATCAGTCTGCTTATCAATGCAGTTTTCCATGTATAAAATAATGTGAAAATCAGAGTAAGGCGGGGCATGATTGCATATTTATATCATGGTCAGTGGAAAATCCTATTTTGAACTTTTTTTTTTTTTTTTTTTATAGAGGCATGCTTTATTTGTTTGCTGGTTTGTTTGTTTGTTTTGTTTATACATGCACTGGGTACAGTCAGAAGCGCGGGAGGGTGAGAGAATCCACCAGAGCCAGAGCGGGGAGCAGAGCAGGCAGAAGGACCGAGGTACACTGCTGAGGGGAGCAGCGGGCGGCAGGAGAGGTCCGCGCGCCATGTGGGACCCTCCTCCGGTGGCCGGGGAGCAGCTGGGGATCGAACCGGCGCCGCAGAGGCCGCGCGCAGCCTTGCAACCCAGCGCTCAACCGCTGCGCCACGGGGAGGCCCCCTATTTTGAACTTTTAATGCCATCTAGATGGTTAACATTTATTGGAAAAGCAAGCCTAACAACCAGCGCAAACAAAGCTGATCTGTACTCTGTACTGTGCTGGCATTTGGGTTGCATAAATGGAGAAGACAAGTCTGTCTGACAAGCTTGCGAACTCCAATAATCTTAACAGGGTGTGTGTGTGTGGTGAGATACAGGAGGTATTTATGGGGACTTAGGACAGTACTGGAGGGAGAAGTCTGACCTCACGTGCAGGAGCAGGGAAAGCTGAGATGTCTGGACCAAAGGGGGACATAGATTAGAAATACCCCAGGAGACAGTAGGGGAGGGCATGTGAGATGCCCTCTTGGGCAAGGGCACAGAACAGCATCTCCGAGACTAGAAAGATCTTTAATCTTGCCAGAAGGTAGAGTGTCAGGATAGGAAGCCAGAGAGCAAGCTTTGTTTGCGCTGGTTGTTAGGCTTGCTTTTCAAGCCTAACGCGCCTTGTCCTCTGGGTCAGAGGTTTGACTCGTGCCTTCTAACTATCTACCAATGCATTTGTTTACTTTCCAACCCAAACCTTCCCCCTTTCCCAGACTTTAGGTCTATTAACTCACCTGTTTCTTTTCTTAACTCTTGAAATTGAGTTCAATTAGGAAGTTTTGCTATTTTCTTGTGCTTTCTTGGCATTTCTTGCTAAGGTTGTTAGCATAAAACATGTATACTCATTCAGATCTTTGTTCACATGTTATCTTTCCAAAGAAGGCTTCTTGACAATCATATCTAAAATGGTTTGATGGAAATCTAAAAATGGGACAATCCTAGTCCCATCTTCATAGGTCTTATGATCCCAATATTCTGTGATTATGGGATTGTTTTATAATTCTGTGCTCTTCAATTTGGTAACCACTGTCCACATAAGATGGCTGCTATGAGCACTATGTAAATGTGTCTAGTGTAGTGGACAAACTAAAATTTCAATGTGATGAAATTCAAATTACATTTGAATAGCCACGTGGGCTAGTGACTACCATTATGGACAGCTCTGTTCAGTTCCTACCTGACTATTTCTTCCATTTGAATGTAACTTGATGAGGATGGGAATTTGGATTATTTTAGTCATAGCTATATGCCTCACATTTGAAATAAGTTCTGGTACATAGTTGCAACTCAGTAATTATTTCTTGAATGAACAAATGTGTAAGTGAATGAATGGAGTATTACAACTTCAGGAAGTTGTGAGTACAAATGAAGACATCGTAATATATAGTAATGCTTGAGACAAAGCGTCTTGAGGAGTGCACACATGTCTAAGAATCAGTTTTCATCTGCTAGGACGTCCACTAGGAACTAATATAAGCCACTAGGCCCTGGGTGCATGTTGGGGAGGGGAAGAAGTGTTATACCTGTTGACCTCAGCTGTTTCAGGTGCTATCCCAAGCTGACGGTGGGGGGCCCTGTGATGCATAACTGCCGTTGCCCAGCATTGATAATGTTCTACAGTAACCTAGGTGATCTCCACTCCATTGAGACCCTAGACAATAATGATTCCTCAAGACAAGGGGCTGGGTGAGGAGAAGGTACTATCCATCAAGAGTACCTCTACTCCCCTCTCCTTAGTAAAGAGAGATCAACTGCAGTTATAAA